CGATGCATCAATTAATCAGGATTCAGAAGTCTTCACGTTGCGTTGTATCACTCCCCTTAAACACGAGGTTGTGGTAAACATTGTGTTGCACTCGGAACCAGATTTGCGGCGTATAGGGGTATTAGTGGCGTCACCTATATGGGAATTTTCTCAGATTCCGGTGCCTGTAGTACAGATGGCAGTACTTCTGTACGATTTAGTTTATAGGGCGCATGTATGGGACCAAACAGCATGGCAGGTCAGTTGATGGCTGATTTGGGTCCACTGTCTTGTAGCGAATCAATATCCAATTCAGTGTGTGTGGCATGATATCAAGCGTGTTAAGCATGAAGCCGGCGTTTTGAATTCCGCCTTTGTTGAAGCACTGCCGGTAAGGCATTCGTAATTCGTATGATTCCCAATTCAGGATAATATGATTAAACTTTACTTATGACCTTAACAAGACTGCCCGTGGGTATGTGGTGTTGCCCAAGGTGTTGCCTCTTTGCCACTGACTGGTCATTTATTTTATCGAGCAATGTCGCCACTCGTGACTTGCATGAAAGCGGCGCAGTAGGTTCGTAGGTCACCGACAGGTAACTGAGAGCAGTTTAAATTAATCAAGCTAAGCTATTGACCTTAACTATTGAACAAACTGATTGGAGGGTTCCGGTTGAAACAATAGTGGTTTTTATCGTTTGAAGTTCATACAATGTAAAACTTCCGAATCGTCTCACAAATATCAACTCGTCATTGGCCAGTGGTCCCTATTGAAAGTTGTATTTTTATTGCAATAAGTCCAACGCATAATTTATGTTTCTCTCGTTTACTCAGTCGTGCCATCATCGAATGCATGCATGGGAGCTGCGTGAGCGTGACCATCTAAAAAATCTTATTAGTTCTTAGAAGTAGAAATACGCTGAAGGTAAAGGCGACGCGTGCAAAGAGCGTCTAACCCAATGCACGACTTTCCGTCTCGCCTTTTCTAAAGAGTGCATTTTCAGAATTCAAATGATGTGTTGTCAGACATTCGCTGTTCGTCCGAGAGAGGGATGACGGGGCGTTTACGTCCCAGGCGGTTTCGTAGGCCTTCTTCTGTCATACGACCGTCCTTGCCTTGTGAACAACAGCTCTCCCTTTGGGGAATTTCATCTCCCGACTCAAACAGTAGTGTTCTTTCAACCCATTCAAGACCTTGCATTTTGCATGTCCTCGTGAATATCAGTCAAGAGTGCGGCGCTTGTTTACGTCTTGAGTCGACGATTTACGCATCTTTTCAGGCTCGTGAAGCAGCTCTTTTCAGAGCGACCCGAATGGCTTCTGCCGCGATGTGTCACTGATAATGCTGACATCTAGGCGACGGCACATAAACACGGTTAATTAAAGGCAATGGCGCGATAGATCCTTCGAGCTCACGACGCTTAGTACGGTTGGCCTTATAACCCCCAGCTGGGGAAGATGGAGAGGCCATCGCTTAACCCTGTAAAGCTACCACACTGCCTCATCTATATGGACTAGTAGTTAACACGCGCACTGCAGCGGGTCTGAGCCGAACACGAACTGCAGGGGGGGGGGGGGTTGAAAACAACCCCCCCTGAAATCTCGAAAACGGCGCAACGTAGCGACAAGCGGTAAACGGCGTTGGATAGGTTGAGATGAGATCTACAAGAAATACAAAGATCATTTTTGGGTCAGGTCAAAAACGAGGTCACCAGAGGTCACCGAAGACAAAATGTTACGATTTTCACAACAGGAATTTCGCGGTAGTTTTTCTTGAATAACTTGTCTTGCACACAAGACAGAGGATCGATTCGAACGCCATCGTTCTTAGCTCGTCAAGGCGCATCGAATGATATATGATATGACCTCGAAAGGTCAAGTTGAAAAATTGACCTCAGGTCAAGGTCATGACCTGACCGAAATAGGTCATGTTGCATATCATTCGATCCGCATTGACGAGAAAAACACGATAAACGTCGAACGGAGTCTCTATCTCTATTCAATCTCAAGTTATTGAAGAAAAACCGCTGGTGACCTCAGGTGACCTAAGATGACCTGGAGATCACCTTCCAAAGGTCATAAGTGATATGTTTCGGTGAAATCACCAACAGGGACCTGTAATACTATGATCCTGAGCGTATTGAAGTCATAGGATGGCATTCAGAGTAAGTTGAAATTTCTCCCATTGACTTATAATGGGCCGGTCGCAAAAATGACCTGACCTTAGGTCATCGATATAAAAATTCCGAGATATACAAGTTGTAGCTCGTGATGACTTTACTATTTCCTGTGGGTTTCAAGATCATATCTCAACAACTGTGGGCTTGGTGGGATTGCAAACTTCGAAATTTACGTTTCGAGGTAGGGTCACTTGACCTGACCTGGTGACCTGACCATAGGTCACCTGGGGTCAAAATTTTTACTCAAGGTGTGCAAAAGTTGGGAGAACAGGTATGCAAAATTTGGCGGCGCTACGCGCCGCCGTTTTCTCGCGATTTGCGAAAAACCACAGGGGGGGGGTTGAAAACAACCCCCCCCCCTGCAGTGCGCGTGTTAATGTGCATGGATCATCAGCCATCGCTATACCTATAGTTTGGTGGTTATTGTGATAGTAGACCGTAGGTATAGTGCGTCTGATCATTTTCAAGCAATATGCCTAGGTAGCCTTTGAAGCCCGGGTTATCGAAGACACACTACACGGCTAAAGATGCACCAGCGACCACCAGATAGATAAAATCATTTAGAAATTTCTCCTCTGTCCCGCGGGCGTAATGTCCCCAATAGCCGTGATCTACCATCTTCAATTGCCGCCATAAGATGGCGCTAGTGTCCAGCGCCTCAAGGTAGACTGTACCGCAAGGCAGGAACGCCTGATAGATAGGCCGTACCGCAAGGCATGGACGCCAAGTCACAAAGCGATATTTCTGACGCACGAGATACGACTCGAGTGCGCATGAATCTTTCGTCACACGCATTACCAAAATGCTTTTGTGCATTTTGGTAATGTTTATGACTGCAAAAAAAGCTATTAAAAATGTTCGTATGGATTTTCGCCGCTTGAACATCGAAACACATTCATGACCCATTCATGAAACTTGCCCTATGATGGTCGTCGGGATAACATCCAGGGACCAAAGAAGCAGCTGAAGTCGTTGTCGCTCATGTAGACGGGTATTAATAAACCATCTGAGGACTGTCTGACCTACAGAACTGTCATTCAGCTGTCTGACAGACATTATTTCCAATTGATTGTACTTAACCCGCGCCGTGCTGGTGGCCTGAACTTTCCGCCGAGTGCTGGGGGGGGGCGTTTTCACGCCCCCCCGTCTAACTCGGCTCCTGGGCCACGTAGCGACACGCGGTAAGCGGCAATCGAAAGAGCGTCAAAAATAAGGACGAAAACACTTCGGTCATTTTTTGGGTCAGGTCAAAGGTCAGGTCACCAGAGGTCACCAAAGGTAAAATGTTGACTATTTCAACATTTTGGAAACTGCCAACGGCTATCTCGGGAACCGATAGAGCTACAGCGCCGCGGAAAAGCGCATTCGATAGCCCTTTTACAGACCTTTCTGAGTAATGTTCTCAGATTTGACCTCAGGTCAACGGTTTAGCCTCCAGAGGGCAAAAACTCCAAAAATAGCCGTTTTTACGAAAAACGTTTTTTCGTCAATAACTTTTGACTCATAAGCGCCATGACATTACTTTTGCCAGCATCGTGTTCCTCTCGTTGAGACGCGTCGAATGAACTATTTGTTGACCTTGAAAGGTCATTTTGAAAATTTGACCTCAGGTCAAGGTCATGACCTGACCGAAAAGGGTCATGTTGCATATCAGTCGATCCGTATCGTCGAGCTGAACACATCTGACGTGTTTTCACCGCTCTAGCACGTCTCTATCAAAAGTTATAGCCAAAAAACTGCTGGCGACCGTTCATGACCTGAGATGACCTCAGGGGCACACAGAGGGGTCACAGGTGCATTTTTCCTATTCAGTGTGTCATGTTTACCTATGAACCGATGTTTGAGAGCGTTTTGAACGATATTTGTCCAAAAGAGGCGCATTTCAATTTTCTCCCATTGACTTATAATGGAGAGGTCGCAAAATTGACCTGACCTTAGGTCACAGATATCAAAAATCCGAGATATACATTTTATACATACTGTTACTCATATCAATCGCTGAAAGTTTCAAAGTGATCGTTCAGTCGGTGTAGCTATAGCGAGCCTTTGAACTTTTTCTGAGGTAAGGTCACTTGACGTGACCTGGTGACCTGACCTTGAACGGCCTAGGTCTGAAATTTTCACAACATGTGCGGAAATGATGTAGGAACACGTGTACCAAAAACGGCGGCGCTGCGCGCCGCCGTTTTTGAGATATTCGCGAAAAACCTGAGGGGGGGGCGTAAAAACGCCCCCCCCCAGCACGGCGCGGGTTAACGATCGGTTCGTTTTTGCATTTGAAATCACGAGAACTGAACTTTTACCAATCACATGATAAAAGTTCAAGCATAAATATGGTATTTTTATGGAACATACCGAGCGCAAAGGTCAGACAACATCCCCCAATTACAGATTACTTCACAAAAATGCTCGTTTACCCATGGCTGATCTCGCAAGAAAACAGCCCGTCCTCGGCTTTTACGGAGAAGTTTCCACCGCCTGGCAAAGTTGGATGCCAGCTGCTGGGAAGTGACCTTCCTGGACGTATTTACATCATCGATTGCATATCTGGGGACCATGGAGGCGGATGCCTGTTGGAGACATCACGCCCTGGCCTCCTGAATCCTGACACTCCCGAGTCCTGACAGACTTCCGGCTGACCCCACTCCTGACATCCCTTCGGCTGACTGACCCCACTCCTGACACCCCTGGGCTGTGACTGACCGCACTCCTGACACCCCTGTGCTGTGACTGACCCCACTCCTGACACACCCAGCCTCGAGACGACCTATGTGTGAGCCATAACAGTGGGTTCCCCGATAGTGACCCTGAACCTCCCCCCCCCCCCAGTTCGGCCGGACAGCCGGACTCTGTCGAGGGGAGGGGAAGGGGAGAGAAGGTCATGGGTCACCACCGTCACAGCTCCTGTGACGGCCGTGGCCAGCTGACGATGACATATGAACAGTGCTACCTGCGCCGAGTGTGAAGTCATAGACATCAGTAATGGAAATGTGTTGATTTGTGGTGCGTCAAGTAAAATCAAGTTCAGCCTGCTGGTGGACTTTGAACGGACTGAAGTGCGTCTCTGCTGGCGTTTGAGATGGCCGCCCCAGTCAAAGGTAATGTTAGTGCATAGTGCATACATAGGTAGATATTTAACCGGATGAGTCAAAGGTGAACTCATTCCACAGTTCTCATTGTTATATAAGCTACACTGTTTTGTTCCTGCCCTGTGTGTGCTCAGAGCAACAGGAAAGCTTGGCGCCGGTCGCAGCAGAGATGCCCTCGCAGCTGAAATCCGCACGTGCTCGATGCAACCCGTATTGGATCAACGGGAGGTATCTGAATCCAGGGGGCTTTGCCCAACTCTCCAGAAAACAGGTCCAGCGCTCAGAGAGCTTGGGAGAGACAAACTTTTCGACAAACCTCCCATTTGTCTTTCGTTGGTACTCAGTTCCCACTAGCTCGCGATTGAAGACGAAGAGATGGTTGTTTAATTTTGTAAGATCGGTTGCGGTAGTTTTGTGGTGTCACTGCTCAGATCATAAGATTTTGTATTTTAGCTCACCTTGTATTTTACTTTTTAGCATTAAATTCTAACGTTGTAATGACAGGGATAAGAAGCATCCTCGCGTTAGCTTCAGTCGCCGTCCACGTGCGCGAAACAATCCGACACACGACCGGACTCTCTGATAGCTCTTACCCAGCAGGTGCCTGCTGTCTGCTGCTACTGCTGTCAGTGATGACGTCACCAGCGCAGGCCGACATCCCGGACGGTCTGGGTCTGCGTCTGCTGGCACAGCTCACACCCGACCTGTCACAGAACCAGGCCATATCGCCCTTTGTGATCTCCAGTCTTCTGACGCAGATCTGGCTGGCGGCGGCCGGAAAAACTCGCAAAGAGGTGAGCGTGGTTTCCTGCGGTTGGCAAAATGTGCAAGAATAGGTAGTTTGAAGGAGTTCCAGAGACAGCATGGTGAGAATTATAAAGGTGTTCCTATACTGTATACAATTACTATCGACCATATTAAAAGATGATTATGTTTCAATGATCCATGGGATTTAAAAGTATATAAGTTAAATCAATTGCATAGTTACAGACGGACTGTGAACTGCATTTAGCACCTGTTGTTTGATCTTATTCTGTAAAATGATTACTGAATGTCAAGTTCTGATGAATCATGAATCGAATCCATGTCACTTTTTTGTTCCATGACCGTGACCATATACGGCATACGAAAGTCACATCGCTGCTTTGTCAAAGGCGCTGCTTGTCCATTTAAAACACCTAAAGCAAGATGCGTTACTTCTGTTTTAGCACTTGCATTCATTGGTAAGGACAAATGAGAAAAGGCCGAGTCTGACAAGCAAATCACTGAATTGTTTATGTTATTGATTTACAGATAGCCAAAGCGCTTGGACTCAAAGGATCTAATAAGACGGCCATCGCCTACAACTTCTTACCGTCCTACCGTGACGCCATAGAGGGCTTTTCCTCACAGACCAACGGCGCTGAGACGGGCGTCATGAACCAAATCTACGTCCGGAAGGGCGTGTCGGCCAGCAGCAGCTTCGCTCAGCTGGTCCGCATCATCTACAACTGCACCATCAGACAGTTCGCCTCCAGCTCCCAGGCCGCGGCCGAAATCAACGCCGAGGTCGCCCGGGTGACCTGGGGTCGGATCCAGCAGCTGGTGGACTCCACATCGCTGGAGGGGCTCAGCGTGGCGCTGGTCAGCGCGCTCTACTTCAAGGATCAGTGGCAGTGGGCCTTCGAAAGGCGGCCAGAGTTGAATTTCGTCACCGCCTCTGGCTTGAAGAAGGTGGCGATGATGGAAATGAGGAAAGAGTTGAGATATACGAGATTTGATACATTTGACGCTGTTGAAATTCCCTACAAAGACAACAGGCACTGTATGTTGTTATTGAGGCCACTTGGCAGAAACATGACGGCGGTCGGTGAGTTGAAGTCGAAACTCGATTCACTACAGCCTCGTGAAATCCTGGAGAGCATGTCGACCCGGGACACAATAGTCACCATGCCTCCTCTCAAGCTGGAAACGACATACAGCCTACGAGGGGCACTGTCGCGGCTAGGCATAAGAAAACTCTTCACGGCTGGAGCTGAACTGCCTAGGTTCAGCGGTGTGGCGATAACAGCCAGTGATCTGTATCACAAGGTGTTTCTGGAAGTCAACGAAAAGGGGACCGAGGCTGCAGCAGCTGGGGCGGTGATTCTAGCAAGGTCGGCAAGTCGCGATCAACCCGTGCTTTTCTACCTGGATCGGCCTTTTTTCGCGATAGTTTTCAACAAAAGATATAATTGCAATGTGTTCTCTGCCTACGTGGCTTCACCGTAATAGTATCTAATAGTATTAGAACCGGCAGAAGTTGAAAGAAACCCAGCCCTGATAATACAGACACAATAAAGTGAGATAGCAATATTCACAGCAGTACTTGAATCTCATAACGACAATAAATTCCACATTACATAGCCTCTTGGGCTGGATCACATCATATTATCATGTCATCCACGTCAATGTTGTGTCAATGCCATGTCATCACACGCCGAGCGTGAAGATCGCTCACCTTCGCGTTATTCTTGAATACACACTTGGGATGGTGACGACGACAGCTGACCGCGACCGTGGGGCTGCATCAACCTATCCGAATCGGGACGATGACTTTTCTTATTACTGGAGAAGAAAAAATGCAGTGTCGATATTTTGTTTATAGGTATGTCTAGAATCAACGGTCCACGAGCTATATAGATCATGTTTTGCTAAGTAACGCATAAGCTGACGGGCATTTAGGCGGTTCAAGCCATGCACAAAATGTTCGGGGTTTCCAAACATGTATATTTATCTGCAGACATCAGCCGAACTGACGTTCCCACTCCCTCGTTTGGCCACTGCTCCTCGACCGAACTGCCGCGGTCGAGCGACTAGTTACCATCCTGTTCACTCGGCGACTGTCGACGCGAACGGCGTCCTGTGATTGGCCGGCCGACGAGCACGCGCGGCAATCGCCGCTGATGACCGTCGACAGATCAGCGCGTCCAATCTGAGAGAGCCGAGCCGATGTCGGCGCGAATTAGACCGGCTGAGGGAAAACACGCACACAAGCACACAACACTGACCTCGCCGGAGACACAAGCAGCATTGGGGCTCTTTTTGTTTGCATTAGTCATTTTTAATAGGTATGTTTAAATGTTTAAATTAAGAAATGATGTGAAGCTTTCCTTTACGTCAATCTCGATGATCAGCATAAAAGAAACGGAAAACTAATCATTTAAGTAACGGATGTGGAACAAGAGAGATGGAACCCACTAGATATTTCACGAAGTGCAAACTACGAGCCCGACTTGGCCAGAAAATTACCAGTGTGCTATTCTCAGTTCAATTAAGAAGATTGACATGACCATTGTCAGGTTGTGCATTCGGAATGGACGCCTGAGCAGTGCAATTTGTGCCAGGAGAGCGACTGGCGGTCGCGGCTCCGTCACTGCGAGCCGCAGCGAGAGGTCCCTCTCCGGTATGGTCGGCAGGCGCCGTGATCTGGTCGACCCCCAGACTTCAGCCATGCCCGCGCGGCGCCCGTTCACCATTGACCTGCTCTATCGGGTCAAGTAGCGGCAAAGCCGAGACATCAGTAGTGTTTTTTAGCAGAAGTGACTGGCTTCAAATCCAATTTTCAAGCTCGACTTTCGCCCTCCACCCACGTCTGTCTGGCCGCTGCGACCGGCCGGCTCCGTCCTCAGACACGCGCCACCCGAGTATGCGTGCCCGCCGCCGCCAGATCACATTGGAATTCCCTGCGGAAAGTCGTCCCGACGGCGGCGGGCGGGGTCCGCAGGCGGTCCGGCACGCTCCAAAGTCGCCGCCGGGTTCCGTGAACTGCCGACAAAGTCTGCCGGTGGACGGGGCGCCGCCTTATCGTGAATGACGAGTGGAATCGGTCACGGCGCCGCGGCCCGACAGCCGGCCCGGCCCGGACGCCGGCCGATATATGGTCCGTATGCTAATGAGAGCGCGTTCGTCGAACCGTCGCTGCCGCCGAGATGCGGCTTCCGACCGAGACGCGGCTTTGCCGCACGAGCAGACAGAGTCGGCACAGCATATGAAATGGCTGATTCGTATTATACTACGCTCTAAACATACAATAATAGAAATTGAAAAAATGGGAACGGTCTCTTCATTTCAGCTGCTTGTATTGTGACGTAGGATATTTATAATTCAGCATTTTGAGCCCGATTGTATTCCCTATGCCTACTGCTTAAATCCGCGTCTATCGTTCTTTCAATAATAAAAAAAACAAAAATACGACAACGATTAATATTACCTAGTTATTTTAATTAGAGCATGGAAAACATGTAACAATTGCGGCCAAAATATTCCACCTTTTGCGGAAGCGAGCCACGTTTATAAGAAGAGTCCACCATTTATAAAAGGTTTCTATTTGTAACCAAAGCTGGTTAATTCACATTCACGGCCCCGGCTGTTATAAACTGAGCTCCTCGCGTCAGCTACAGTACGTGAATACCATAGTTATGGTCGACCCGACGACTCCCTATATTTGCATTCATTCATAGTGATAATATTTTTAATATTTAGCTGCATTACACGCGATACAGGTCAACTAACACACATTCAATGACCTAGTAACAGAGACACCGAACAATTCCTTCACAAATCCCCCACTGCGGCATACGAGCCGTTTCATAACGATCAGTAGTGCACCCAGTTCCATCTAAACCTAAAGGGTCGACCACCGCAGACAAAGTGATGCCCCGCGCGTGTCACGGTAAACCTGGCGCCGGCCAGCGGCGCTCAGCCTGACTCGTGGCCGGACAATTTGTGTTGCACGCCTCTCGGCACAGCTGAGTGATGGCGGCACGGCGGCACTGTACGCCAGAGCTTCGACGGCAGCGATTTATCGAGTCTATCCAGTGAACTCGACACCGGCCTGATAGCGAATCGACGACCCTGAGGTGGGGCCGCCGGTCGGCACACTTCGTGACGCTGCCGATGATTTGTTGGCGCGGAGAGTGTTAAATGACGCAGAGAGTTACGAGCTCAGTTTTCAGCCTTTGAAAGCTGATGATATAATACCGAGCTAGGCGTCAATTCGTATGAAATGCTTCAAGATTACGATCTTAGATGATGGTGATTCAAGTGTTAATCGATGCCCAGGCTAATGTTCCAGCTTGTTCATCGTATTATTGGAAGCAACGGTCCAATCAGTGTGGTATTAAGTTGTGCTTAAGCTTCTATCGTTAAATGGACGCTTATTGCTTAAGAACGCAAGTAAAAAAAAAAACGCCAAATACAATACTGTCGAGCCGTTTTATTGAGTCGATCATTGGCAAGTGATTCAAATGGACCTAAGGTATGCAAGATCTCCAGATGCAGACCTAGTACAAACACCGGTCAAGCATTCGTGCGACCGCTGACCTTGGGTCACGTCACAGCGACATTCTGCATCTGGGAGTTGCCGGTGTTTATAATTCCCTCCGCATTCTGGCGCAGGATTTACGGCGACACGCTTGTTTTGCCGAGGAATCAGGACCGATGCAATCGTGTCACCCGGGCCGCCTCCAGCAACAGCGCACAACCACCATTACCTGTTCTTCTCATGAAGTGGCGAGTGCTCTAACTCAGACAGCTCGTCGTAATTTGAGACACTCTGCTAAGGCACAGGCATCAATTCATACGAGCGTTCTACCGTTTATTTACTTCTTATTATCAAATTGTACTACCTATAGCTTTACTTTCTTTCAAATTATGACCACTCGATGTCGTGTAACAGAGACGGGCTACAACCGATATACATAGAGGCTCTCTCCGAGGTTCCCTGCTGGATGCCGCAACATTGTGGATGTGCCGGAAATTTGGGGGTCATTTCTCGCACTCAGCGACCTTCCCGACCTGCCAGCGACAGCTTCTGCAGACCACGGGCCATCCCATCAGCGAAAGCTGTGAAACACAGACGACCTGGCCGCTAAAGGTATTTGTTACCGAAAGCTCTGTTTTTTAATTGTGTATTTGAATACATTGTCGTTTTTTTATATATAAATAAGTCTACATAGTTTTACGTTTGTAGATAACACCAGCAACCATTATATGTAATAGCTCGATATTAGTAACACCATAACATCGTTAGCGACCATTCTGGAAAATTCGCAAAGAACGATTCCTTGTTATGGGCATTTGCACATTGCAATATGCAATTGCGTGTGTAGCTTTGCCTCGTGACTGCCTTTCTATTCCTTCTCATTTCCACTCACTTGTTGTAAGTCCAAACATTCGACGTCTCTACATAAATGCGATAATGTTTAGTTCTATCACAGTTTGTAGGTATGTAGACATGACTGACGATCAATGCCAAAAGCAAATACAAAGCAACAAAAATCGGCCCCTTCGATCACGTTCAGCTCATCGACGCACGTATATTGAGCAGTGCTTCCAAATCTGTATCAGGTAGTTGTGGGATTATTTTCTCACCTTCCGTTTCACTAACCACTGTGTAGAAACGAAGTGGTCAGTGAGGGCAATGCCTGGGCCATGCTCCCCGCCTGGTGCGTTGCCACGTTTGCAATCTTTGCTGCCAGCTGTCGTATCGATTTCAACTGAAGTCATAATTCCGCTGACAAGTGTGACGGGGCTCTTTCGGTCAGCGTTTCTGTCGCTTTGGTCGGCGGGAGCATGTCGAAATAACTCAGCTTAGCTCTAGTCAGCTCGGTTCCAGATATATCAAAGGTAAATATAAATTGTAACTGGTCTTTGCATTATTTATTCCAGTAGTTTCCAGTAGTTTAGCCTAATGTAAAAGCTGTACCATAATGCTTGGGGCATAGGCGGCGGAACGGGGAGGGGACCGGGGCACCGTGCCCCCCTTTGATTTTGGCATTTTAACATTAGCCCTATGGGCGTTGCATGGAAAGAATGGGACCAAAAGTCGGCAGTGCCCCCCCCCCCTTAATTGAAGGTGTTCCGCCGCTACTGGCTTGGGGAGAATACTCGAACCACAGATAAGCTTTTTTATCAAATAAATAAATAGAAATAGATAAACTACTATATTTTCGGCCTTGCTACCAGTGTCAACCCATGAAGATTATTATATATCTTAGCATCAAACACATCAAACTCCTTTTCATGCGAGCGAGACGCATGGCTCCGGACTTCTGTACGCTAGCCTCCCTTAGAACAATACTGGTACGATGTTGCACCATACGCGGGCACCCACTCCCCAGTGTTTAAAACTTGCCCTAGCGAGTGAAGAGTGAGCGATAGTTCTCAGTTCTCACCATCCACGTCTAAATTGGCTCTCTCTCCAAAAACGTCAGCGGCCCCCGGCTCCTACCGTCTCGGGCTTCCTACTTAGCCATGCAAACAAACTGCCAGCTGCCGAGTCTCAAGTTCGCGGATAAAACGTCCGCCATCCTTCTGAGCCTCTCGCCCAGTTTTGTCTTTCTGCTTTCTTTTGCGGCGTGCCTACGTTTGCCAGTCGCCACCCGGTGGGGTCGTCACTAAGATAATCTCGTACCGCGATAGTGGCTGCAGGAGTTTATGAGTGTGTGTAGTGCACCAATACGGCGGCTCGTGAGTACGGCTGTGTTTTGTCAGTGCGTTTTGCGTCTGCCTTAGGCTTGGGAAGGGGTGAGGAATGGAATCGGGGA